ATATATATATATATATATATATATATATATATATATATGTAATGGAAGCAAATTTCCAAGAATAATCTAAAATATAAATGAACGAGTAGTTGATCAGTTGATGACGATATTTAAGGTAAATATATAATAGCTGAGATTAGATGAAGCCTCGATAGATACGAAAATGAGAGATAATCTATTAATGGATTAATTATAAATTAACTCTTATAAGTAGTTATCTTTAGTATTTTAATCTTTATATTTTTAAAAATTATATTGAGATTTCTGTATTACAAAAGTGAAACATTTAATCCGTTGTTTTAATAAAATATTTTTTTCAATCTTATAAAATAATTATTTTTTAATTTTATATTAAATTATTAATATTTTATTTTCGTAAGTATAGAGATCCCAATATAATTTTACTTTTAAAAGTATAAGAATTGAAATATTAAGAATGTTAAGCCAAGATTAATTAATTAGAGATAATACAGTCAAATAAATATAATCTGATACAAGTAGAGATATTATTTGAAATAAATATCAAAAGTGGGAAAAGATTTATATAAGGTAATCGAATTGAGATTTGAATTAAGCCGTCTTAAGTTATTTATTTTAGAAAAAATATATGAAAATATTGCCATATGTTCATATAACAAATGCTTGTGCCCATTTCAGAAGTGGCAGTGATCCTAATAACTTTTCTAATCAAATTAAAACAGTAAAATAATATAGGTCAAATTCAAAAAATAAAAATAAGTTTTTATTTTTTCTTAGCTTAGTGTTTTTTATTTTCTGAAATATGAGATTACCCATGGGTTGTGTGTCGTTGTCATTTGTCGTACCCTTATTTCATCGTCTCCATTCTTTGTTTATTTTTACTTTTATCACATCCATCCTCATTTTTATTCGTCTTTAAGATAAAATGACAATATCTTGTCCTCCTCTTTCAATTCTATCATAAATTATAATCATAAATATAATTACGGGATCTTCGCTTACTACGAATATGAGCATCATATTAGATCGACTCGTACATCGATCACATTCTTATGAGATTGTATATCTCGATCGTTCTTACATTAGTGATATACGAGAGATATAGACAATCGGATGAGGATGTAAACAACGAGAGCGTGATACCATAAAAAAAAAAAAATGGTCGATGGGATAAAAGTCAAGAGTATTTTAAAAAATAAAAATATTTTATAAAAAAAATCTTGGTGAAAAAAAGTGAAAATTTAAGTTTTTTTTAATTATTCAATAGTATAAAACAGTACAGCAAAAACTTCATCAGATCCTCCTCCCCAGAATCCCATGCCGTGCCGACCCAGTTCATCCTGCTGCTCCAATCTTCTCGTCTTCCTGCAGCTCTCGGGTAGTCCCAAGAGCACTCGAGCACTGGTCCTTTCATTTCCATGGCGTTCTCAGCATAAAGAGACATCAAAGGTGGAACAAGATCCTCCCAAGATTGACCTGCGTCCAGTTGAAACATGCCAAGTGGTCAAACGCATTAAACACCTCCTCTCCTCCCCGAAGCGCGCCAGAAGACGGACATCCGGCATCTCGTGCAGTGTGCTGCGTCTCAGAGCGCACATGCCTTCCCTGACCTTTTTCGCCTCTTTTTGCCGCACCATTTGACCACCTTTCCGAGCCCAAAAAGAAGGTAAAGAGGGGGGAGCCCTTCTTATATGGATGCGTTGGGAGATCCTCTTGTTCTCCTTACAATATTCACCTAGCGCATCTCCTCCTGCCTCCATGCTCTGCTCTCCAATGGCCAAGTTGGTTCCGTTGATGATGCTTTTGCTTCTTATCTTAGTCTCTTTGGTCTCATGCGAGGTAAGGCTAGCTGATGCAGCATGATGCCATGCATCTAGGCAATGCAACACACTTGTATTCACCACTCAACCTTTTGTGCAGATTGTCCGTGAGGAGGTGCAAGATGATGATCTGTTTCTGAACGCCCAAAAGGTTAGGCTCTCTGCACACGACACTTAGATCATCTTGTTGGGTTCAATTAGCTTTAACTTGGGATTGCTTTGGATGTGATGCAGAGACAATATGGATCTGGGAGCCTTAAAAGCTACCGTAAGCTTTTGTTTACATGTTGATCGATTTCCATTTCCTCTAGTCTTTGGTGAACCTTTCCATGTACAGAGTGCCCTGGTGAGTGCACAAGGCGGTGCTCCCGGACGCAGTACCACAAGCCATGCATGTTCTTCTGCCAGAAGTGCTGCAGAAAATGCCTGTGTGTCCCTCCAGGTTTCTACGGGAACAAGCAGGTCTGCTCTTGCTACAACAACTGGAAGACCAAGAGGGGTGGGCCAAAGTGCCCTTAAATTGATCTATCACCTACTTGTTTCTTGATCTACTGGTTTCTGTGGCTGTATCAGTTAGTATATGAGCATGCCACATTTTGTGAGTAGAGCTACTGGTGGGCATTCTAGGGTTGTTTACGTGAGTGTCTGTAGTTGGCTGATCATATATTAGTCTTGAACCAGTGTGAGTTTGATGTTTTAGTGGAACTATATGGTTTGAGATTCTTCTTTCTTTTGGTGTTCCTGATCTGGTTTTGTTTACTTGGCTGCACACCAGAAATTTAATGGTAGTCAATGGCTCCAATGTAATCAATAGAACATATAGATACTAGTCATGGTGACCCAGTAAATGCTGCAGTTCTTCTCTGCCTCCTGCTTCTTGTAATTTCACCCCCTTTTATGTTTCATGAAACAGATGTTTAGCTTGTTCTTCCTTCAGTTTTGATCAGGAGGACAGGCCAAAACTGGTCATTTTGGTGGAGCAGCAACTTGTTTCTTTACATCTTTTACCCCATTGCAAGCTTAACTCTAGTTCTCAATAGAACTGCTAACACCATTCTTTCTTACCCTGATGGTGTTAAAACTTGGTTCTTGTTAATTGCCTTCACTTGTTTGAATGCAGTACAAGGCCTTGTAGAAGGCTGATGTAATTTGCCAACCATTGGTAGAGGTCTGGATGTATTGAATCTCTTGTTGATATGGGCAACTGTTACCAACTCAATGGAATGCATGCATAAAATAAGCTGTGGCTGGGATTTAGCTCAATGATTGTGCTACCATTAACATTTGGTGTCACCTTTACTGGAAGAGGTCATTGTTTCTGTGGCTAAATGGAAAGGCAGCATGCTGATTGAGATGCTTGCAACTATCATACAGATGCAAGAGAAATTACAGGTCACATCTAGAGGATCATGAAAGCAAAATATTCTGCTGCAGTCTTGATGTGTTATCTAGGTCTCCAGTTCATGCTATAAATATGGAGAATGGTGCAGAACTAGAAAATGGCTGGTAAATCAAACATTCAAACTGGACTTCTCAAAAGATCTGTGGATGTGGAATTGAATATACATGTCTGCAGTGTGTCATATCTGCAACCTCATGTTCTTGAGAAGCCCATTAGCTCAGTAGCTTCTAGCACTTGAATGTGTCATATCTGCATTGGCTCTCATACATGTGAGATCATACATATTAGACATTGTGCCTTGACAAGGATTTGATGACTCAGAAACAGTCTGCAGAAATATCAGCATCCAAGACATCAATGTTCAATTTTCTTCTTTCATTCACCACTCAATTTGGTAGTACTGTTGTGATCTATGTGAACTGGTAGTGTCTCTTTCATGGAATTCAATTGCACATGCTTAATCAAAGATGGCTGACACAGAAGTATGAGTATGGTATGTGCAACCAGTAAGATTTTGTTTTAGAATGTTTTATGTTATCTTCAATCAGTTTTAGCTGATTGAAGTGTTCTGAGAAAAATCAAGATGAAACAACAGGTGCTTTTTATTTGTTGGCTTAAGCAAAAGAAATCACCAGTTTAAAAAGGGTTCCAGCAAGGAATGAAGATGGTGGCCTCACATGCAGAGTGCTCTGTCAGGGTTGCTGTGATTCAAGCTGTCATCTTAAATTTCTCAACACCAGTTTCTTTCTTCTTTCCCTTTTTTAGGCTCAATCATATCAAGTTTGCTCAATGAATGGGAACCACTGCAGTGCATTGAGAAAATGACACATGTTGATGCATCTGAGTTCAGTCTTCATATTATATCTGAGATCATACAGAAAATTCATTCACTATGTTACATTTGAGGCAAGAACCAAAGCTGCACATTAGCTTAGCACATACACCAAGTAGAAAACACTTTTTGACCCTCATTAATGTATTTTGTATCAGTTGCATGACCAGTGGATTGTCAGATGAAGGCATGGCTGATGGAATCAATATACCCCACTGAGAGATCTACCTGCCTTGCAGCTTCATCAAGAAGCCAATTCTCCAGCGCTGCCAAGGGAGGGTTTTGAGCGTCGAATCTTTTCTTTCCGTCAGCACAAGCTGGGGTAGACTGAGACCCATAAAATGAGGCTTCTGCTGATGGTTCCTCCCAAGCAGGGAGCAGCTGTTTAAGCTCTTCGTTGAAGAGAGGATGACAGCTCTCCTGATCAACCTTCATTTGGATCCCATGGCACGTTAGATCTTGATCTGGAGCAGTAGGTTTAACCTTTGGAGAGCACCTCGTCCATCCTTGGAGAAGCCTCGAGATGTTGTGTGTGCTCGAAGCATATGATGAGGAGCTTAGATCGGATGAAGGGAGATTAGAGTGACAAGAATTCCCACTTGCATTGTTGTTGTGGCATCTTGATGTCATGATCTCAGGGCATCCGTTGTTTGAATCAGATGAAGTGGTGCAGCCAGTGGTTGCGAGTTGATGCTTCTCGATCTTCTTCTTCAGGTGGGTGTTCCAGTAGTTCTTGATGTCATTATCTGTTCTCTGAGGAAGGTAAGAAGCTATGGCTGCCCACCTGCAGTAAGAGTCATCACAAGGATCAACCCGGAGCTGCAAACTATGTCACCATGATCGATGGAGATGATTGATGTAGATCTACTTGTTGCCTAACAAAGATTGGAGATGAACGATCAATCCCTCTTCGCTCTTAGTGAAGTTGCCACGCTTGATTCCTGGTCTGAGGTAGTTGGTCCATCTTAATCTGCAGCTCTTACTGCATCTCATCAAACCTAGAATTCAAGAGCAGAAATGGAGTCCATCAAACATAGCATTCGGCAGCCGAAGGAAGAAAACCAAAGATACAGAGGGGCACTTTTCACCGGTGTTAGCAGGCACTGATCTCCAATTCCCAGGACCATGCTTCTGTATGTAGGATACCAGTACGGTGTCTTCTTCCTGCGTCCATGGACCTCTCTTGATGCCAACCTTATCACAGCATTGAGACCTGCCCATCCTTCTCCTTGTCTTCTTCTGTGTGCAAAGGAACATGTGAGTGTTTATATAGGATGACTTGTGGAGGAGGATCAGCCATCATTTACATATCCTATCTACCTCTCTGACTCATTTACTTGTGCTGCTTTTTTTGTCTTTTTGCCTTGAACAAAGTCAGCTGGGTTTTTCCCTTTCTTTCATTTCAATTGTGTGCTTCCACTGTCACATGAATCAGCAAATTATCTTCTTGATCTTTCCAGTTGTGGGTTGAGAGGGAACCTCCCAATTAATGCATGGAAATTAATTGAGGTCCCCTTTCCATGATACTGATCATCTACCTGAAGGGGGCGGTTTTCTTTTCTATTAACAGCAATCTTGGTTTGACCACCATAGGTGTTCTTGTCGTGGTAAACTTATTTCCTCATCACAATAACTCATGCAGACTCTTTAGGGTCATGACACCAATCGACATTCTACAGAGAGAGACACGAGAGACACTGCCACAACCACCATATGGTTGCTTATGTATACATTTTGGCTTTAAATCAGACGAGTCTGAATCAAATCGATCGAATTAAACGTTATTTATGTTTTGAAAATGGATCAGACCTAATATGTGTCAATTGATTGATGAGTGACCGACATCACGATAATAGCTTTCTCACAACATTATTGGAAGATAGCAATCATAATATCTTATTCAGAGAGAGAGAGAGAAAGAGACAGAGAGTATACGTGGGAGGATTTGGGAAGGGGGTCCGTGGTGGCTTCTCGCTAATTTGCACTGTGATAAGCATGAGGTCTCGTGACCACCCCATTCAATAAGGAAAGCTACGGATCACCGCAACGTGTCTGTCACCTCTTGGATGGCAACTTCCACGCATTCATATCACCGGCAGAATTAGCGGGTCGGGTTGATCTCAACTTGACCCCTTCTCGTGCCGGATGCAGCCTGTCATGCAGTATATATATTGTATACATCTGATGGGTACAACTACAAACAAAACCAATCAAATGCACCAACTTATAAAACATAATACAAGCTGATATAGCCCATAAAGATCACGTAGGCAGTACCTGCTTTTGCTGAAGGTGTCACCTGTTCCTTTGAGCAAAAGGTTTCAGCTGCCCAAGACGAACAAGCAGGACATGGGATCCCACAACTAAGTGAAGCTGGACACCAGCCAGAAAAATAAGGTTCCAAATCTCGGCTACTCTTCATTTCTTCTGTCATTTGTCTGTGAAAGAATAATTGTAATTTGCTACAAAGTGAATACTACGTGTACAGGTACTCCCAAGAAATGGAGAGCAAAAAATCATACAGGCATCCGAGTAACTATGTAATGTCCCTTTTCCAGGTCATAAATTGTCTTCAACCTTGGTCTTCGCCAATTCCATACATAAAGCACAGAAAGAGTTACTAATAGAAGAATTGCAAACAATGAAATGAATGTTAATGTGTCACTCCCAGCAATGTTTGTGATGGTTTCTGCACCAGACTCGGTTTCCACCACCGTTTGCAGAATGAATGCACCCAGTGTCCAATCGAGAGGACTGCTTCCGGTGGGAACAGCAAACCCTATCCTGCATCCAGTAATTTGGATTTGAGTAGAGGGAAGTTTTCTTGCGTGACCACAAACAGTATGCTGTTAAATGGAACTGTTTTAACCAAGATTGGGATAGTTATAGAGCAACACCATATCTTAAAAAGACTTCATGGACGACTCAACAAACTTGTAGCCAGCAAACGATTTGATGTTGACCAACTCCAGTGCGACATTTTATCAAACACCAACTTGTTATGAAAAGCATAGCCAAAAACATGAAATCTATTTGATACGGTGGCACTAAGCTAATTTTGTCAAATCCATCACATTGCCTTCACACTGGAGTGATATCTATATTGTGTATAAACCATCTAATGTAGGTAACTAAAAGTAACATGACCACCATTTATGATAAAGATTTGAGGAACATAAATATATAGAAAGGCCAGTTAAAACAATGAACTTTAGAAAGAAGCACATGTTTATGGTATCCGTGTAACTTCAAAGTTTGAAATCACTATTTCGAAAATCATTTCTCTTTGTTTTCCATGTCAAGTGAACCAACATGCAACTACCTTCACAGCATCGCCACAAAGAGAATTACATGAAAGACCATATACAAAAGCAAATAACTATTGTATGGGGCAAGTACTAAAGATGTTTGTCTTAAGATATCCATAAATCTACCAATGCATTTACTCACGGAAGGAGCTACACTTAGAGCAAATTTTATGTTAATGTATGATCACACATGCACGATTATAATAGAGGATATATTAAACCTTTCAACGGTATTTCTCCTAAAGACTCCATAGCATAGGCAAATGCATGCTCCTATAACTTCCAGTTACAAACACTAAATATGATAGCATGGAAGTGGTGTAATATTTACTCATCAATGAACGTCGAATGGCTTCTAAAACCAAGAATGTTGCTGGAACTAACAAATCACATGAATGCATATTCCATCTCAGCATGTACTTATCAGTATCACTGTGATCATGATTAGATTGTTTTGAAGCTTCTTTTACATGATAAGACAACATCATTTGAACCAAAATGAGACAAAGAAGTTTACCGCTTTTCCTCCATAGGAATTCCTAGACCATCATGTAGTAGCGACACCATAAAAGCAGACGAAAAGCAATATTTTTTCAGGTCCATCTCATCAATGCCAAAGTGTTCCTCTTTTAGACTAACCCAATGATCCTCGCAATAGTGACGTCCAGCAGCTTCTACATCTGATAAAGATGCCTTTGGTGTCATCCCAAACAACTAAAGAAGGCAAATAATTAGAAAACACTGCATAATAATATGCAAGTTTGATTACATAATTATAAAAATAAAAACTAAAAGGTTTAAATTCGATTAGAAAGCATTAAGTAATTTGAATAGCATCAGCTACATACCTCTGAAATGTAGAAAAATTTCTCAAAAGCAAGTTGTTGTCCTTGCATATCAGCCTTAAATCTTTGTAAAATTTCACCTAGAATGGTGAAAAAGATCTTTCAGTCAAAGATTCAAAAAGCTGATAAAAATTTCATGGTCATAAGATTTGTGAGAAATGAAGCATCCAAGTGTTCAATTTTTGATAAACACAGATAAGAACCACTTCAGGATTATATTCCACAACTTTGGATCTAGCTGTATAGTAGCCATTCGATACTCCACATCAACAATGCAAAATTCTTGCAGTTTTTGCCAAGGTTTTACAAAACAAAAGGAGAAAGGTAACTTGGAGCTTGCCAGCATTTAGGCACAAGGTGGGGGGGGTTAGTGGAGCCCTAGGGGTCAACAGTATCCAGCCATGGAATTTGCTGGTGGTTCTAGATGCTACTGGTCCTATTTCTCCTATTCCATCTGCATTAGATGATGGAGATTTATCCTTGGCCATTCCATCCTGCAGCCAGTGTACTCTAATTTCCTTAAATTTCCATTTTCTCTATCCTTCTCTTACTAGAGCATCAACAAATTGGATTCAGGCAAAAATGGAATGGAACATATAGTGACTTAAAATTATGTAAAGAAAATCCAATGAAACCAATATGTCAAGCAACTGAACCACTAAAACACCTGATTTTACTTCCACAAACATCCCTGCTTCAAAACCAAGAACCTTTGAGGGATGCTGGGGCTCAGTTTAAGAACCTAAGGACAGCCCTGTTGGGGCTCAGGTTAAGCACCTAAGGACAGTACCTAAGGCATTTTATTGACCCACTTTTCCAAATAAGGAAGATAATGGTATAAACTACTAGATGATGGACACAGTAATTTTAAGGTTCTTAATCAGCACAACAAACTATTCTGTTGCAATGTATTTCCTCTAATGACATAGCAGCACTATCTTGACTCGATTGTACTAGGGTGATCTGAGAAAAAAGATCCAAATCATAATTGATAATTTCTGTAATGCTATAGACAAATTGATTTAATGTCCAGATCGCAAGTTGTGTAACGATAGATAGGCCACTATTACATGTGAAAATAGGAATATAATGTTTATAGATCACACCTCTATTGAGTACAGAAGCACAATGTAGCCTTAAAATCACAACAGAAGAACTAAAACAAAAATAAAACAAAAGGTCCCAACCATAAGGGTACAATTACATAAATGATTTCTTTCCCTCAAGCTCTACTGAGGACAATATCATTGGTCAAACTAAAAGCTATCAAATATCTTTCTACTGTTTCTAATAAAGTAATTTTCGGCTCCTCTGCTACTCCTACACACCATTGTTTCTAATAGACTCACCTTGTTAAGCAGTGCAGCTGTAAATCTGTTTCCACTATGTGATCCTCAATCAAATAGTACCCCTAATTGTTCACAAATCTAAATATTATTTGTTTTAACTATTTCTAGCACCCTTAACTTTCTGTGTTCATACGATCCAAAAAAAATTTGTGTTGGCTATTAGTTGTCTAATGAAAACCTCCCTTTTACATGACCAGGGACCAGCAGTGGAAAGATGTAATAATAAGCATGACAAGAGAAATCGCCAAAAAAAGAGAAGAAAACTTCAGAAAAAATAACCGAATAATATATAAAATACACAATTGCACATCAGTAATCTACCTTGTTGCAGGAACATATAGGCCTTCGATCTACATGTAGCAAAATTACCCTCTACATCATGTGAGATGTTCTTTTGAAGTGCATTTGATGTTGCAATAGAACTTCGATTGTACCCTTTAGGAATGCATGAAGACCTGATAGGTCCCTCAATATTGCCTGAAGCTGCAGAATAAAGAAGGCTTCAATATAATCATATAATTCTTTGTGCCCTCTACAAAGAAAACAGACTGACATGCAAAGCTTGAGTTGCAGATAAATCATAGGTGTGTAGTTTTTGTTCAAAATTTTCAAATCTTTATGAAAAACTGAGCAATAACAGCTAGATCAGCATTGCAGATGCTCTTGCTAGTGATTTTTGGTTCCTCACATATTTCTGGTGTCCAACCAAAAATGCCCTTAAGAACGAGACTTTGGGTGCTTTCCTGATGGCCTTTTGGTAATAGAATGTCAGTGCAACTTGAGAATGCACACTAGCTATTCTCTAACACAAGAAATTAGCTGTAAAGAGCCCCAAAAATAAAGAAAAAGCTGAAATACATGAGAATTTTGTGTAAAGCCAAATAAGGATAACAATAATGTTCGAGAGAATTTGATGGTTCAAGAAAGGAGGGTGGTGGTAGGAAATGTCTACAACTGAATATTGACTGATAAATGAAGTACATAAAATTTAATACTCAAAATTTAATTATCTACAATATAAGAGTTGAGCTAAGAGAAATAATTTAGATAATTTGGCAAAAGAAAACTAACATCAGAGAAGAATTTTTATAAGAATTAGTGGCCAAGGATGAGGATTTAAGTACTGAAAACTGTTCCAAGCTAAAATCCACTTACAAACCCCAAAAGACAGATTGTACTTAGGATCTTCACCATGGCATTCTGCCTCTGCCATTTGGAGCTTCAACTACATAATTTTCTTGACAATCATAACAACAATGGTTGAAACATAATCGTACTTTGCTTGTTGAAGAAGCAGGGACGATAGACAGCTTTACTTAATGGCTCAATATTAGCTTCTGTAATAGGACCATTTGATTTCTGGTAGATGAATATAATAATTTAAGATCTATCGACTTTTTTGTGTCCAACTTGTATAATGACAGAAAGACCTTTGTCTATTGTTTTGCAAGTGTCCTCAATATCATCAGATTAACTATTGAATCAAATGTTACCTATGTTCTATGGTGCTTTTAAATTCAGGTAGACATTTTGCACATACTATTAAGAAAAAAATTCATGACTTAAATAGTTCCATATAAGTAGCAAACACCCTCCATTCCTTTGTCCACACATGTGAACCTTGCTCTCAAGTCCCCAGTTTTCACAGCTAAGGCTAGGTCGATGATGATATTATCTTAGGAAGCTCACCTGTTGCCACAATGCTGGAGTTACGTAATTCTGTCAATGATTCCCATGCTAAATCCTGCGCATAGTCAACAATAACAGGCCTTTAGTTCCAACATTATGACATAAATAAAAGAAAGCACAAGAAAACTTACACTATTTAATCAGACAAGGGCCCTGCCATATTTGCTGAATTACTCATCATGATATTACTATGAAGAAGTTAACATATAAATGGCATTTCCAGCTTGAATTTTTAACCAAAAAAAGGTACTGATTAAAAAAAGACAAGAAAAAGGTACTTACTTTCAGAAATACAAGAGATTTGCCTTAAAAGAATATAAAGGTACTACAAAAAAAGCACTTGCAGCATACAAATATAAAGTTAATGGTATGATCATAATAATACAACAAATAAAAGATGTTAAATACTAAATTTGATTGCTAGGATTGATCTGATAATCAATAAAATCCATTAGATTAATCATTATAATCATCCTTTTCCCAAAAATATAAGGCCACCACAGAGCATACTTAAAAAAAGAGATTTCCATGGAAGATTTGACAAAATATTATAATAGCTATCAACCTAACAATTGAATGATCAATAGAAGCTAAGTTTGAGTATAAGAAAATTCTGCCTAAAAACCTAAAAGCTTAGTTGGCTGACGAAACAATGTACTTAATGGTTGCATTTAGATTAGTTCGCTAATGAAGCAGTATTCAAACAAAAAATGACACTTTGCAGAAAGCAATACTCATTTCAACGGCACAAATTAACAAAAACACAGACAAATCGAACGTTCAAGTATCCAGAAAAAGATGAAACTTGAATTCTTCTTGAACAGTTCAACTTTTCACTCTTTGACTAAAATCAAGATATCGTCTTAGTTCTTTATTGTATCATATTTCTGAAGTTCCACACAAGTACTCATTTTGAGGCCTGTCCTTGTAAACCTTTCGAAGTGTCACCCCAGACTCAGCATCCTCACATATGAGCTTCCTCATTTCTTCACTTCAGAAACATTGTATCATATTTCTGAAGTCCCACAAGAAAGCATCATACTAATTTTTAATGTATCAGCATACTACCAAACCAAGAAATACATGGTCATTAAGATTTTGGCTTGAGTAAAACGTAGGTATTAAAAACATCAGCTCATTCAACTAGAAAACTATATTTCAATTTGCATAACAAAGTTCCACACATCGAGTTTATAAAATTCCTAGAATAAATTATCTAAATCCTCAAACTTGATATTTGTAAGGGATTTTTTTAGCTTAACAACAAAAATGAACATTAATCACTGTGGATAAATAAATCACAATGAAATATAAACCAGATAGTCAAATCACAATTTGACTTGGAAAATAAATCCGTGAGTTACCATCATGTGTTACCTGACCAGCTTGGTGAATACTTTTGCTGTAAAGGTTATAAGTAACACCAGGCAGTTTAAGCATCCGAGAGTATTCCAAGGGAGGTGGCTCTTCTGGAACAAATGTAATCTGCACGTGAGAATGACTTTAGTAAGAAAACATGAGTTTTAAGAGAGCATTTTATTGTATATGTCAGAACCTAAAAGAAGTTACAGCCAGTAATATTCTCAAATGCATCATCTATTTTGACATAAACAAGAAGTGGGCCAAACCGCCAAAGATTGAAATAGTATGAGGATCCATAAATTGATAACTCACATGCCAAATCTACTGAAGATAATATTATGAATCTTAGTCATTAATATACCAAACCATAATTAACCCCATGGCTGACCAAGTAACCGACTAGTCAACCATTGGCTGGCCCAATAGATGTGATATCCATCCCCCTCATGGGTTGTCAGGATTCAATCCCTCAAATGTGCATAATTGTGCCTAAAGAAAAAGTACCACATTTAAATTCTGTCTTAATATATTCCTCATCCCTTCAATTTCTCCCATCCAAAATTTCTTTTTCTCCCCATAACCGTCAAACTTGGAGATGTCAAAGGACGAGCAAGAAGGCAACACGAAATGACATATACATACTGGTTGCTGGAGAAAATCATCGTCGGAGGTAACCATCACCAAAGAGGAAAACATTCAAGGTACAAGTTGTCCCAGCCAAGAAACCTCCTTCTCCTCTTCCTGTATATTCATGTTCTCTATCTGCCTCAAGATAGAGCTTCATATTCATCCTCACTGTTGGTAGCCATGGTTGTTGACATATAATAGATCATGCAATAAAACTTAAATAGGTGAGGGTAGAGAAGAGATGGGTTGATCAGCCTTGAATTTAGAGGTAGATAGTTGGATAATGTAGATAAGGATGGAAAGTCAAAGAATTAGGAATCACCAGACAATGCTAGTGAGGTTATAGCAGCAACAGCTGGTGGTGGTTGACAACAGAAGCCAACGGTCAATGGTTGCCACAGACTGGCAGCCACCCATAGCCAGGAACAACCGGGTACAACAAAGGCTGAAACCAGACACACCACTAGCTGGTGGCTATAGGTGGATCACTGTCAATGAGCAATCATTAGAGCAGCATCAGCTGACTGCCAGATGAGGCTGGCTACTGTGACAAGTTGACATGGGATGATCAAATTGTTGATCATTAAAAGCTTACTTTAGCTGTCAGCTCACCCCTAGGTTATCACCAATTTGTAACAGCAGGTCACCAGCCGATTGGTTATTACAGTGGCAGCCGGTGGTGGAATGGGGATTGTGACAGGTTGCAATGGGGGCCATGGCTGCTGCACCATTGGTTAGTCATAGTAGGTGTGTCACGGTCAGTGGGCAGCTGGATGATTGGCCAAGTCACTGGCCATGAACCAAGATATACACTTGGGCTCAAGCCATAAGTGATATGGAACATGTATTTGGGTTACGTCTGACTGATTGGGTAATTTACATGGGTCTAAGTTAAGTGGGCCAAGCCCAAACATATTTGATTTAGGTTCATTTCTAAATCAGGTTAGCTGTAAAGTTCATGATGTATATGTAATTTTTATCAGGGATCCGTTCATAAAATCTAGGTATTGATTTTGAAAACCAGGGACTGTTCTATAAAACCCCATGTATAAGTCTGTAAAGTTTTGTGCACTTGATTGTAACAATAAGGTACTGAACTATAATTTGACAATAACTTTCAATTTTTATCCAATTTGTTGAAATATCTAGCATATTACAGATCCTTCAATTGAAAATTCTTTTGGCATCAATTTATTACATGACATAATAATATACTATTATGTTTATTTGCTGGAAATGTAGATTCAGATTTTTTGGCTACCATAGAATTTTTATTAAAGCATGATTTCAATATGATAGTTCCCTGTGGCATGATGTATATGAAATTGACAATATATCACATTATGGGACCATTTATTTTATAATATTTGTGGAGGAAAAAAAAACCTTTTTAACATATTTGGATGGATGTTCTGTAATCCTGAAGAAAAGGTAGACTAAAGCTAGTAAGGTGATTTCCATAAGGAATTAGTGTGTTGCCAAGAATATCAATGGTTCATTAGACAGTTCCCCATATCCACAAGAGAGACATATTTCCTATATGGTAGGTAGGACAACATTCCATCAATAGGTGGAACAATATATTGTGAGATGGAGTGATTCCTGATGTCTATAAGAGAGATCATCTCATCCCAAGAAAATTAAAGAAGCCACATACCTCATGTCCATAAGTAAGATTTCATCATTTTTAGGTGATTGGAGAGGTTCAATGTGTAGCTAGGCCTGTTGATGGGTGTGATTTATTATATACGAGAAGATTCCTTAGTTACGAAGGATAAAATAAACAATTACTTTGAGATGCTTTATTGTGTCTCCCATCCGAAAGTAGGAAATAATCTCCACATCCCTCCTCTATCCCTTTATTCTGATACTACAAAATTACATCTCCATGCATATTTGTGTGCAACTGTTGGATGGTCATGTGATGAGAACATATAAATACTTGCATCATTAACATAAGATTTTGGCCAACTGAGAAAGAATGCATAGCAAAACATATGAAAAATATATCATTTTTTAAATCAACAAAATGACAAGTATAAGAAGGAAAATACTTCACAGGATTAAATTGTATAAACATGATAACCTGAGCAGAAGCCCCACCAAGTTCAATGATCCCCATAGTTTCCTGATGATTCCCTCCTAATGTCCCAAGGACATAGTTGGCAGCTATCCAAGCATAGATACCTTTTTGTTGGCCTGCAGTACAAATTCAAAGTTTTATCTTTTAATTAAAGATCTGTCGAACCAGCATTGCTTGTAAAATGCTTCAAGTTGAATCAAATCTACAAGAGACAAGTAGCAGACTGTGGATAGGAGCACACCCTACTGAGTTAAACCTAATGAGTTACTTACGAATTCTATAAGTTGAATCAAAGCCTGAAATGTATAGTACAGCAAAGCCCCCCCCCAAAAAAAGTTATACAACATGTGCAAACCAACAAATAGAATGAAACATTCTGAGTTACTCATGAATTCTAAAAAAAGTTGAAAACAGTATCGGGAAGTTAAAAATAATGTCAAATCATCATGCCCCAGATACGCTGATCGGTGATCCATGGATGTGCTACAATGGCAAAGATTACCGATTGTGCGCCATAAGGGTTATATAACTACCAAAATGCTAAAGCACATACAAAATTCTATGATCAATAGTAACAATTGTCCCCCTGATTCACAATATTCTAAGACTAGATGTATACAGAAAGAAATGACATCTATAGTTTAACAGTCGCTATATAAGAATAAAGAGCATAGTTCATCTGTGTAGGCTGCCCTCCTCCTTGTTCTAGTTGGAACATTGTGAAAAGTTGAAGAAAAGAGTGTATTCTTGTGTGACTGTCTCGCCATAGTTATAACGGATAACAAATTGCTAATACAATTGGAATCTATAAAACAATTTGATGCCGTTCCATGGATAAAGTCAACTGAGTGAACATGAAAGGAGAAGCAAAAGCGAACAGACGAACCAGTGATGGTGGAAACCCAATCATCCCTAAACATGAACCCAGACGACCTCAGCACCTGCCTGCAAGATTCCAAGATCGCCGTCCTCACGCGCAACGGACAGCTCCCCAACCCTCCGTTCTCGATCAGCTGCACCTTCGTCGTCCTCCACTCCGCCGTCGGTACCCTCCCCTTGGCAAACTCCAGAAGCTTCAGAATCGACCCACCAGCCTCCTCCGGCGCCGCAGCGAACGCAACCAACCCGGGCTTCACCCGCATCGACACCGACCCCTTGCCATCGAAGCCAACAAAAGGGATCCTCCCCTCATTGAGGAACTCGAAGACGTGGATCCGGGATCCGGATGAGCCGGCGTCGATTACGAGGCCGAAGCCCTTGGGTCGAGGGGCATCGAAGTGGGAGGAGAGGTGAGCGCGGCCGGCGGCAGCAAAGAGGTAGAAGAGGAACGGAAGGATCAGGAGGCCGGCAGAGAGGATCCAGCGACGGTCACCTCCGCCGCAGAGTGGGGTGCGGGGGGCCGGGGGAGGGGGCGCGTAGTACAAGCGGGGGTGGAGCTGGGTCCGGTGCGGGGGGAAGTAGGCACCGGCGGAGGAGGACGAGGAAGCCCGGGATTGGAGGGAGGAGAGATCCATGGAGGACGGGGATCAGAGTGTGGGTGGGAATATTCCGGGTTCCATCTGCTAGGGTTCCCTCTCTTCCTCTTCCTCCTCCTCGCCGATCGATGGAGCCGCTGAAGCAAGACCACAGTTATTAGTTAAGATGGGGTCTAAATATATCCTAATGGAGGCGGACTCGATCCTAAGCTTGCGAGTTCAAGTCGGTGACTTGTTTATGTATGGTCTACACCGTGGAATTAATAGAATTGTGTGTATTTTTTATATAGACCCTTACAAATCTCCATGCATACATGGTATTGTTTATTTAGCATATTAACTAATTAATGACATCAAGATTTGGTTCGAGTTCCAACCCGGTTCGGTTCTGGTTCGAGCCTACTCATATATACACACATTTAAACCTACTAAAGAGGAGATAAAGTGGGAAGTGGCTATGACAAAAACATCAATAACAGCAATTTAGCTAGATGCAAATGGAAAAGGAGGAATTCCAAACATGAGACACTCAAATCCTCAAAAACTCAATTCGGAGTTAATGAAAGGTGGAACCTAGACTAAATATTTCAAAATAATTTTCTCATGACTCGATCTCCCAAATGGTGCAATTTTCTGACGGATACATGCAATTAATCATCCTAAAAGATTGAAAGGCTGTATGTACAATAAATTTGTCCTCTTGATGGAGAGGCAATAGGGCATGCTAAATATGGACAGCAACCGAGTTCCACAAAACCAGCCAACACAACTCCTAGATGAGAATCATCAGACACAGCACAACTATCATCAACCCCACGAATGCAGGAAGCAGGCAATGTTTTCGGTCCAATAGTAACAAGTATTCAACATCCATGTAGGAATACAATATGAATACATATCTAAATTAACTGTCGGGGGAAGGAACAAACCAAATTTTAGCAGGGTTTCCGCCAAGCCCAGATGTGTTTGAACGTACATCATTCTGGATCTATAAGTTCATCCAATGTCCTTGACCACATTTATCTGTACATCCTGATGAATGCTGAATGGTTGGTTGGGTTCATTCACTCTCGTAGTCTTCATCATCACCAAAGGAGAAGACTGAAGCATCTGCCGCGATTGCCTTGAATTCACTCATAGTGGTAGACCCCAGTTCAGGAGTCTCCACCGGCAAACTCTTGCTGCTCCCTTCAATTTTCACATCAGATGAATCAGGCACATTCTTAGCTCCTGCTTCATTTTTCAGTGTAACTTGTCCAATGGCTTGTGCTATGGCTGTGGCTTCCTCTTTTGAAGACTTCATTTCAGCTCCTTTAGCTGTAACCGTAGATCCATCAGTATCACCAGCCACCTTGTCACGCCTCCTCTTGGAGGAACCAGTTTCTTCTGCTTCGCTGTCCGAGAAGACGTCATCCTTGTCTTGGCTTCTAGAGTCGCTGTCAACTTTTGAAGGTGGAGTGCGAATTTCTTTTGTTGCAGTGGCAGACGTGGTGTCTGGAGCAGATTCCTTGTTGGCATTTGACCCAATCTGTCGTGGAGAATTAGAAGCATCATAATCCACAAGCACGATTTCAATCTGGAATCCTGGAGAGGGCAACTTTCTCTGCAGTAAAGGTTTGAAAGGTGAGATAAAAGAATGTAAACAGAAATAATAAAACATTACAAATATCACATAATCATAAGAAAAATGAATGGGCAAGTATTTAATTTAATAAAGTTTTGAGAACAAGCCGACTGCAGAGATTATAGCAAAAGATTTTCTTGTTTCACACTTAAAGGAGAAGGATGGTCAAAAGAGCCAATTTTACCTTTAGGTTGCAAGTCAAGAATAAATAGTTTCTTATCTTATGATGAAGTCGTGCAAGAAAGTGTCTCAAAGCATCCTAATTAAAGATTGAACTTATCATTTTCATTGCCTAGTACCAGAATCTTACCTTGTCAAAGCCATCAAGGTCAGAAGTATTCAAGATCTTCCTGTTCTCCGTAAATGTTGTATTTAACCAGCTAGACAATCAGACAAGTAAATAGTTGTAAGTTATGAATATTGTAAATTCAATAGCAAGACATAGGCTCATGAATGATGAAACAATTAACTGGCATATTCATTGTTAATAGAGAAGTAATACATAAGCTAATTATACAATTAACAAGCTTGCCATTTTAAGAATGCCATAATTTTTTTCTCATACTGCTCTAGTGTTGGTTCCAACTGCCACTATACATTACAGAGAACCAGGAGAAAATTTGACATCCTAATGTATTTTTTAAAAATGCTACAGTCATTTGAAATGTTAAGAGGCTTTAATAATAAGATATGTTGTATTCACAGCACAAATGCATAGTTTATGTGCAAGTAGTGAAGATGAACATTGGCACAACCTAGACTAACTTGTTCACTCTCAACATTTGCACAGTTTGCATTTTAACAGGACATACTGCCAAGTGCTTACTATCAATAATTATCATCTCTATGAGGGTAAAAGGAAGATGCAATACATTTTCACTACAAACTATATTTTACTCCTAAACAATATACAGCCTGCCACTAATCACACATGGAAATGGTCACAACTGAAAAACAGAAAAGAAGTCCTGAATTAAAATACTACCTTAAAAAGATACAGGAATGGTAAAATTAAAACTCACAAAAAAACCATGCATCTAACCACTAGGATGATGCATATTACCTAATCTAAGGCGACACGAGAACCAGGAAGATGACAAATTTGGGGAATTGTCCTCACCAGTAAAAATCTCCTTGTCGATCATGGAAGTGAATCTTAAAATCGCCAGCCACCTCAGTCAAACCAGGCTCGCCTGGTAAAGCAAAGACCATGATCCCCTTCTTTGGTGCACTAAACCAGAAATCTTCGGGCTAAAAAACATGATGATCAGTGAGGCATAGATACCATGAGAATAACTGCAAATTGAGGATAAACAAGTAGCACACTAGTAAGTAGAAGTTGGAAACTTCTACGGCTGATAAGCCAAGGTATAAAAGATCTACTGCACCAATATAAAATACTAAATTGTTGACATCTCACATTGATAATGATTTATTAATCTTGATAAATTATATCAGTCATTAGGATGTAGTCATTAGCAATTTCTGAGACATAAGAAGCATGCAACTTTGCCAAATTCATGCAAGAGATGATTCAGCAAAATAAAACTGTCAAATTCATTAAGGGCTGAAAAAGGCTTATAAAGGCCCTGAGAAAAGAACAATAAGGAATAGAGAAGAAGACGATCAATTCATTCTGCCTAAGGTATAATTCAGCTGTTGGAGTTTCATTTTCTGCACAAAATGATCCACATAGGATTCCGGTTCGATGATCCGTCAACTCAATACCACCTTTCGGATGGAAATTTTGGTGGAGGAGAGAACTATCATATAAAGACCAACCGTAAAACCAAAAGAAAACAATCTCTGTTACTTGTAAAGCTAAATTGCTAACTGCAAGACTTAAAACAATGAAATAAAAACATGATAGGAAGCTTATAGATGCATAAGAACGCAGGTTGTCTTTGGACAGCACTTAGGTGCTCTTAGCAGTTTTCCTATCGCTGCTGGTTTCAATCTTCTCCTTCTCTTTTGCTGCTGGAACCTCCTCCAAAGGTTTGGACAGCAACCACTTTAGGGACTTCTCGCAGTAACTGGACGAAGCTTTGATGCAGAGCTTTGGCTACTGGAACTCGAGGAAAAAGGCTGCGGTGGAAAGGATGGGTGTACCGTATAGAATTCTTCCCTTCTCTCTTCTCCTCTCTTCTCTTCTCTATTCTAAGGTAGAATAGCTAGGGTCGGTTGGGCTCTTGCGGTGGAATTATTTGGTTTTTTCTTTAGATGGGGCACACCCTTTGTTTTATAGAGTGAGGGGTGCCCCAAGTCCTTAGAGTTTAAGGACTTTCCTGGTAGGAGGGGCACAACTAATACTTTCTTTGTAGGGCTATCGCACGCCCCTTGCTTGGTGGTTGTCCCTATTTGGGTGCGGGCTGCCCTAATCCGAGTCCTATTAGGACCTGGATTGAAGTGAGAGGCTGCTAGGACTTAGCTTTGCTTGGGCAAACAGGGCTTCAAATCTTCAATGGGCTCTTGGATAGGAATCAGTCAAACTGGTTGAATGGTGCTGAGATCGTCCTTAATCATAAAAGACATTCAAGAGGATCAAGACCAAGAAAGTATATTACTTAAAAATATTTGTATCTTGAATAAGAATCAAGACAATATTACCATAATTTTATCACATGTTCTCTAGTAGAGAACAAAAGAGACAATATTTTAGTGGTGAGTAAATCCAACTACAAGCAATAGGCTTGGAATTAGATATCATCAAACAACCAATGAATTTACAAAAAGTAAAATTTATCAGAGAAAAAGCTTTTAAAAATTTTCTTGTAGTTGCTTAACCAGGATAAGCAAAAAGGTTCTTTCCAAGTGCTTTTATACTGTAAAAATTAGAAGTTAAAGTTATAGCATTCCTAAAACATGCTTATATTTCCATGTACAGAATGCTCGTTTGTGTACATGTGCAAATTAGCATTTATATTCATAAATTGAAAATCCACATTACATGATTTTTCACATAAATTAAAGGATAACAAAATCTTTTACTAACATTAAAGGATACAAATTTAACGAAGTTTAACAATTTTGCTTTCAGAAAATTTCTAAAAAATGGAAGATGAAAACATGAAGATTTACTTTATATACTCATAATTTAATCAAATATAAAAGTGTAAACAAATATACTGACACTAGTTAGCTACGTAACAAGTTTAGATAACCGATTATATATTAGATACTACAACCAAACCACATATATGTAGATAAGTACCCATGAATTTGAAAATAGACATGCACATACACATGCATGTGCATGATGTAAGTCTAAAAATGATGATACGAAGAGGGAACATTTGAGAGAATGAGCTAAAATCTTATCAAAAAGTTAGCTTGAAACTTACGTGCCAATGAAATGAGTTTATATCTAACTTAAATTCCAAAATTTAATCACAAAGTGAATATTGTATAAAAGGCCATTTCTTAGGGATTAAGATATTTGAGTTAAACTGAAAATTTTGAAGTTTCTCCACACTACTATGTTTTTTGTCATGATTGATATAGTACTTGTGCAATGCACCATTATGTAAGTTAGGAACTGCTGTGGGATCACTTGGCAGCTTATTTGAGGGCAGAAACAATGCTCAGGTATTGAGGATTATCTTATATCTACATTCTAAAAGTACAAAGAATCAGTGTTTAATATCTTGGTCGAATACCATTTTACCTTGTCAAACACAATACCAATATACTTGGTGGTATACCACCTGATAGCACTGGAATAGAACAGAAAAAGAAAAAACCAAACATTGACTGGTGCAGAACTATGTAGTTTTGTACTGGTCCTTGATCGGATTTGATAAAATACCAATTGGACAGAAAAATAGGTACAATCGGTATTTAAACCTTGGCAAGACTATGCATTAATCAGAAATGATATTTTTACCAAATGAGCTCTACTATCAAATTGAACAAGGCTTAACAACATTTTTGTGGAGTATGGATCAATCAAAATCTTCATGAACTTTCCCCTCAAACATAATTATCTGTGTTGTATTCAAAAATCCAATTAAGTGCATTCCCCTGAATATTTAGTTCATGATCAGATAATATATTACCAAATTCCTACTTCTGATCAACTTTTGCTACTCCTTTGCATGCAATCTGTCACTTATGCTATGTACAAACAGCAGAATATCTTAAGAAATAAAAACTATAAATAAACATGAAAACTTAGCAAAAATAGAGCAACATCTATGAACACACCCACAAAAGGCCAGCGTTTTTCATATTGCTGAGCCCAAATTGGATATTACCAGAACAGGCACAGGCCCAAACCAACACAAAGATGTTGAAAGTAAAATACACAGTTTAAAACAACTTTAGATTCAGTAAACATATACATAAATTAAAATATACCATTAGATCTTTGGTTCTTGAATGCTTCTTTGTTGAGAAGAGGACTCCTGTTTTGCAAGAGATGCAGGTGCTACATTTAGTACCAATTCCAAAAAGAAGGAAATGTAGAGACATAGAGTAATTAAAATATGCACCAACCATTAAGTTACACAAGTAAGCTGATTCCCTTATACATAAAATATTTCAATCAGCAAGTGCAGGAGCAAATATTGGTACACATGCATGTCAAATATGCTAATATTAATGATGATAGATACAAAATTGATACTTTCTTAAAATATAAGAAAGCTTTAGATAAGGTGTGAGAGAATATAATTTTCAAAGCTCTATTGAATAATGATTTATAGTAATCAAATTGAAAGTATCACAGGAAAAATCTCTTTACTTCCATGGGTAAGGTTGCATATAAAGATCCTACCTAGAACCCATTTTGACCCAATATTTAAAGGTACCCAAAATGGATGCAATTCATGCAGTAAGATGAGATACCGAAACAGCCAATACCATTATGATTAGAAACAGTAATTGAAGGCCGGATCCAATAAGGACACCTATGAAGACGAAACCCTTTAAGCATGCACCTGGAAAGAGGGAAACTGTGACATTAGTGGAACTACAAAAATTGACATGCTCATAGAAATGATAACAAGAAAAAGGTGTTACCTGCGGTTCGGCTGGTTTTCACCATTGAAGTATGTCAAGATACGTTCGAAATATTTGACGTACCTCTGAATTTAACAGAAGTGCAAACAAATGTCAGGATCTTAAAAAATGATTTTTCTTGTATTTTTACAGGTATGTTATAGCAAGGAATAGACTAACAATCTGACTTGGGAGAACAAGTCCTTTTCCATCTATACATCTTTTCTGGTTGTAATATTCCATGGACTCTTCAGCAGTAGGAAAGAACTGCATAAAACAGCATTAACTTATATCAAAGAAAATAGCAAACAATAGACGAGAGAGGTAACAAATCATATTGCCTACAAATTTTGCAACTTATTCTTACCTTTAGATACAGAAGAAGGCTAGAAATCATCAACCCTGTCCTTGCCATACCAGCTTTACAATGAACAACAACCACATTTTCAATGTCCTCCTTCAACCATGAGTATGCACTTTGACAGAATGAAGTAATAAGTTGAATTGGAGGGCAGTTATGATCATCAAAAGGGAAGCAAGCCACCTGAGATGTGACAAATACTTCAGATATGCAAGACACCAAGAAATTGGTTCATCAGCACTATTCATTATGGGTTGTACTCTTAAACCGAACTGGCCAGTACAGCAGTCATAAATCGATATCAAGCCAGTTTGCATCAAGGTTGGTCTTCAACCATTTTCAATACAAAACCAGACATGGACCAGTCCAATTTTAATGATTCTTAACTTCAAATCAGAATGATTAGGTTGAAAGCCAGTTGGTCTAAGATAACCCAAAAAAATGCAATTGATTAGAGGATCAATCTCAATCATGATCTCTATAAACAACTCATCTGCATAATCCTCTCTCTCCTGCAGGGAGGCAATGACAGAAAAAAAAAACATGAGAAGAGAAGAAGGTGAAAAGAAGGAAGATGAGTGATCTCGAGCAAGGAGAAAAAGGTCTGCTTGTCTTCTCTCCAGATATTTATCATGTTTTTCTTTATTACCTTCTTGATTTTCCTTTTCTTACCATATCTGTGGTAGTGGATGGTCTACTGCTCATAACTGAACCAAACTAGTCCAACAGTCAACCAGATCGAGATGGCAATTCCTTGCCCTTCATATAAAAAAGGCAATAACGATTGCCTTTATAATTGCATCAGATATATGTGTTCCTAACTTTTATTGTTAAGTGACAATGGGAAAGAGCATGAGTGAATCAGACAATTGCCCCAGGTCTAGTGCAACTCTTAATTGTTCAGCAGGATGAATAAAACTTTTACAATGAAGACACTAATTAATATTTTGTGTGAGACTGTCGTGCTAGAAATCTGATTAATCAATGAATCAGATAAGACACTTTGACTGAATGGAGATTGATATCAGGATATGATGCATGATACTTTTATGATGGTTGGGCTTGTGAGGTAGAATTAGAAGGACTAAAAAATGGGCAACAGGATCAACAGAGTAAAGGTGAAGCATGATATGTTTGATTTGACGAGGATGAGATTGAACAAGTGAAAAAAAAAAAGTTATCATGAAAAGATATTGAATATATAATTAGAAGCTCTTTGAAAGACAACAAAAGTGAAGTAACTATTTATTTCTCTTTTTCAAAGAAGAAACTTGAACTGTAGCAGTGTATGGGGCAAGCACCGCCACAAACAAAGTACAATTTAGTATAATATTAAGTTTATTTTGAAAAATTATACTCATGTTTATAAAATGGACAGAAACCATTAAGTTAGCATGTAAACAAAAGTAGTAGAAACTACATAAACTAGCAAAGAATTTACATGAGCATTCAGCAAATTCAAGAAGCATAAGTGTCACATGCAATGGAGTGAGGATATTGCAATCTTAATTGATATACATGAATGTACCTTTCCCTCAAATAGAGATGCATCATAAAGCCTCTCTGAACATAAATTGTATACTTTATACTTACCCTACAAAAAAAATTTCAATTAAAAAACTACGCAAGAAAATTTAATGCAAGAGATTGCATGTTATTCATACAAATTCAAGTTCTAGAGTGAACTTTCATTCAAGAAAATGTAAACCAAACAGTAAATCCTTGTTGAAACATAAGCTTGACAAAAGTTAATGAAAAATTTTATAAAGAGAAAGGCACAAAAGTTGTTTTGAGATGGACATCTGAATGGCATCCTAGTAATCAGGAAACTGTTCCATATAAACGGTTAACATTACCAACCACATTTACTTACCCTCCTCAAAGACAACATGAATACTCATAAAGGCAGTTTGGTCAGCAGTGGTAGATAAATCAGTCCTTAAGGTGTTAGAAGAAACACCAACAGTCCATCACAACTCAAAAAAAAAATAATAATAACTAAAACTAACTCAGCAAAAAGCTGACACTGCTGTAGATGCCTACATATAAGACAGTACAAGTTATCAGAATTAATATGTAACCTGAAGAATTTTCATGTCCTATACACTGAAACTTTCATATCATTTTCTCAGGAAAGCCATAGGTCTCAAATAATCTAAAAGCGGTAACATATCATGATCAACCAAAGTATGATTTCAAGTTTTGTCATGACAGAGAGTTTTTATGTTGCTGGCTCAATATGACCTGCCATGATATGACCAACATGCCCCTTGTGTTCGTCGATATAGGCCAAAAGTTGACTCATTCTTAGCATAGAATACTGGCACCAGCACAACATGGCTCAATGATGAACTCCCCATGCCGACAGAAAATTCAATCATTGATCCAAAGCAATAATAAGCATAAGAAAGAAGAATGGACAAAAAAGTGCAAAGAAGAATGCTCGTCACCTTGGTCCTAGAACTTTTCACTAAATTCTCCAAATTGTATGCATACCTCACACCTTTTCAAAATTATTCTGTTCACTATGGTTTATTAACTATTGTCAAACTTAGGCTTGCATCCTTGTACCATCATAATCACTCAATCAAAATTTTCTTTTTTACTCAGTGGATAATAATAAGCAAAATATTATGTACAATGTTCACAATTAGAACACACATCATTTCTCACCTTGGGAAAGTTTAATAACATGGTACCTTATGGTGAGTTTCAAAGAACTTGATCACTTCTTCCATATGGTTGCGATAAAATCCCTGCAAAATAAATAAATTTTATTTACTTAACAAGAATTGTTCAGTAACAGTAATAAGTCAATTTCTAAAGTACCTCAACATATCCAAAAAAACCTGAGCTCATGTCACCTGCCGGGAAACCCATGGCAATAATATTCTCAGTAATGTATGTCATATCCAAATCAAATCCACCTTCCTGGAATAAATAAAGAAAAAGGGGGTGATGCACATATACAAGGAATCAGCAGTTTTCCTTTTTTTTAAAAGAAAGTTGGTTCATATTAGCAGAAGCAACAATGAGAGAAGGTTGACAGTTGACCATTGTTCAGAAATTACAAATCATGTAACCAAGAGCAAATGACATTAATGATGCAATGGAATCTCAGAATGAAATAACAAAATTTAAGGTTCACTAAGATCATACAAAACGAAAATAAGAGAAAAGCATAAAGTAACTGAGTATTTAAAAAACAGCAGTGAAACTTGGCACTGACCTGCCATCATCTGTATTACATTAACAGTTATGAAATATAAAAAGAAAAGAGAAAAGTTAATGTACAAGATACCCCCAATATGGATAAGATTAGAAAGGTTGTGTCAAAAGTACAAGTAAAGAAGCAAAGCTTCTGGTGGTTCCCAAAGGTGGACAGGAAACATGGTAACACACAGAATGCAGAAGCAGAAGAACATATGCAAGCCAAGCATAATTATGATGGAAACCTTGATTGGCATTAAAAAACACTGAAGAACATATGCAAGACTAAGTAATTCCAATTCCCAATTCTGAAATATGAGCCATCCAACAACGTGAGTTTGACCTTTTGTATGTGTTGTGATGTCCAACCACTGGCTTTATATGAATGGGCACACAATATGTAATTGGAGAATTTCTAATGTTTCCTTTGATTAACATTTCCATTTTTTATGGAGACAGACAGCTGTCAAACGCTCTCTAATCCGGAGGTAGGATAATGAAAGATCATTAATTAAGCTTATTTTATGGCTAACTTTGCAAATTTTTTGTTAGATATGTATTAACAAAAAATAGGATAGTTATAAAATGTACATGATAAAATTATGAGATATAATTGCACTTAGTATAAAATTCAAAAGTTTTAAATGCTAATCATGTCATCTTACCTTAATATTTCTTGAATATTTTCTTGTTTAATTTTTAGGTTTTTTTACTTTTAGCAGAAGCAATGTCTTTCAATTTATAAAAATAATTCCTAGTTGTGATGAATAGGTAAAATATGAATTTTATTTATAATTTAATCCCATGATTTATTCTGCCCAGAGTATTTGTGTAAAGAAAATTGAATCCACTCCCTGATTATGGCAAGATCAAGATCAAGCTAATAATTTACAAAAATAATGTTAAAACTTCTGATTGTTAGTTACAAGTATTAACTACCATTGCATTTTCAGAAACATATCTATTATTTCAATATTTTAAATGTGTATTACAATTTACAAAACCTTTTGGCTTTTTATGATGTTGACAAATTGTTATTAGAATCATTGAATTATTTATTAGACAGTAGATTCATAAGCATTTGCATCCAAACTAGTCTGTAAAAGGCACATAAGGAAACCAATAAAGCAAAAAACTGCACAAAGAAAATCCAAGCAGGAAACTGACTATCTCACAAGTTTGTACGGGTGACAGAGATCCAGCGAACATCATATTTGTGAGACCATTACCTGATATCTTCTTTTATTTTGAGAAACTATGTGCCGAGCCTTTACTTGGACAGCCTTTACTGCACTTCTGGATGTATCAACGAAACCTTTTGTCAAAGAACCCAGAACTCCAGGTTGTGTGGTTGTTGAGGAACCCTCAGCGACATCATCTTCAGACTGAGAAGATTTTGGTGACAAACGAAACCCAAATCCACTAGTGATACGTGAAAATGTTGACTTTCCTGCATTTCCAGACTGCAGATCCTCTTGGCCAGATGACTGTGGAAATTTAAGATTTCTGGCCCATGAGGATATACCAGAAGTGGAGAACATGGATTGCGTTTCCACAGAAGCATCTTGTCTAGGAGAAGCAGAACTTTGATTGCCGGGGGATGTAACAGGTGGTGGAAATGACTGCTCACCAAGTTGCTGCGACTCCATTGTGTACTCAAAGAATCTCTGATTTTTACACAAATGTTTGTCAATATATAAAACACCAAATTACATTCTGCGTATCTGCAAGATAGTAATACTGAATAAGAAAGATAGGATAACAAAGCAAATGAAAATTTTGCGTGCAGTGCTACATAAAGAAGATGACTTTGTATGGCTGGACAGCAGGCCAAAATGCAGATGGATCAATATACTATGCCAAATAAAGCAATATACATATATCGGTTAAAATCTTAGTATTTGCACCCTTATCAATTCTGCTAAAGCAAACATTGAAACCATAGAATTCAGAACACCAAGACTGCCCAACTAGTGGAGGCACACAGTGAGGTCTATTATTCTATTATGCCCACTTCAAAATTTTTAGGATATAGTTTACCATTGCAGCAACTTCTACACTTCCATAAATTTAGCTCTTGATTGTAGTCTAGATTTGCTTCCATGGTATTGTTTATAAACTAGCTTAATGACCTACAAAGTAAAAAATTGTTGTCATGAACATAATTGACCTAGTTTATCCCTAACCACAATGACCAGTGAGCATAGATGAAATACTTTAAAGTTTTGAGTATGAATTACAGGTAGAAATTTCTTGAATTTATTTGAAAGTGTCAAAATATTGAAATTAAGGCAATAATTTGAATTTTTTATTATATGTAGATATATTGAACAAGCAGAAAATGTATATATGGATTCTAAATTGGCATGCATGTTTTCTATTTTTTTCATTATTGAGAGGTTGGAAAATCATGATACCCATGATTATATTAATAATCTAATATTTGAACTTTTTTAAGAGGCTATAATTACATGTATTAACCTAAGAAAGGTGTCATTTGATTGGTTGCTCTGCGTACAGCATATTCATGGCTATATGATTTTTGCAAAATATGATCATCAATTCTACCAAATTTCTGACTGATCAACCACATTTATTCAGAATTCATCAAGACTTAGATGAACCTTTGCTTTCCAGAATGGACCTATTTAATAATTCACTCCCTCACCTGTAAAGGCACCCTTGCATTCAGGTCAGATATCTCTCATCCCGTTCATAGTGGGATTATAGGAGGGTCAGGGGTTGGATAAGTGAAGATTCACAACTTTTATGTACGGTTAACTTCTATCATATCAACATTTTCAAAAGAAAAAAAAAAGTGACTAAAATTCTTTTTCCTTCTTTTTTACACATTTTTACCATCCACTTCACCATCAACTAGGTTTGTTTATATATCTTTCTCTCTTCTTTGACACTGCAGAACAACTTCAAATACCCTAAGAGCGAAACAAACTATGTGAGCATGTTTGCAATTAAACCCTAGAAACTTTAACAAAAGCAAATTCCTTTTCGCTACCCAGGATTTACCCTATTAAATTGTCAAGATCGAATCTTTTCTGCTCTAGGATTCAGAATCTTTTCTGCAAGTCCGCAATAAGATTCAGAAAAAGCGACTAAAACATGGTGGCCACTAGCAACTATCCTGAACACGTTCAGGCTAAACCCTAGAAACCTTAGCGAATTCAAATTCTTTTCTATTTCAAGTGATTTACCCTGTTAAATTGTCATGATCGGATGTTTTCTACCTCATACTCTCATCAAAAGTCTCCAAATTCACCGTAAGATTCGGAAGAAGCGACTAAAATATGGTGAACATAACCAAGCATCCTACACATGTTCACGATTTAAACCTTAGAAACCTTACGAAATCGAATTCTTTTCTATTTCCCGTGATACACCCAATAACTACCAAGATCGAATCATTTTACTCCATACTCTCCTCAAAAGTCTCCAAGTCCACAACAAGGTTCAGAAAAGGCGATTAAAACATGATATAGATCAAGAAATTGAATTGCCCCCGCAAACATAGATCAAAAGAACCAAACTCGAACGCTGCAGCAAAGAAGTTACCGGCGGTATCGAATATGCTGGTGGGAAGAGGAAACAGATCTAGGGTGGTCTAGGGCGCAAAACTTGGCCCAGATCTTTTAAAGAACTGAGGATTAAAATAAGGAGGTAAATTACGATCGATGGCGACGAGAAACGCGGATCCAATGGCTCGGTGGGGCCTACAGCGTCGAGATCCGTCGGCGCGAGGCGATCGATCCCGCGATCGGTCGACGATGATCTTGAAGACGAATCGAGCGCAGAGGGCGAGAGGAAGATTTCCGTGTCAACGGGCTATGGTGAGATAGAAAGCGGACAGGAAAGATGAGGTGGTGCGGTTCACGTATCGGATTGCCCGACTGGTCTAACATGGACGGGTTGGTCGAGATCGAACCAATATATTTTTACAGAAACACCCTTGTACATCTTTTATCGGCAAAACGGTACGGTCACATATTCCTAGTCAATTGCGATGACGAGAGAAAGAGAGATTCCTCACCTCAAAGGTTTTGATTTGGCAAAACTTGAAATTGAAATCGAACCGGCAAGATGTAGCTACGGTTCGGCCAGTTTCGATTTCAATTTGAACTTATAATTTTTATTTTTAAAAGAATAACTTATAATATAAGAAATTTATAATTTTATTTTAAATTTTAAAAATCGATATATATCCATAGAAGTGTAAATTTGTAATGACTAATAAAAAATTTGATATAAAATTAAGTAAAATTATAATATTTAATCGTTATGGATGCTAGATGTTTCGATAGTTTCTTTGGTTAATATGTTGAATAGGAGGTTATTGTCTTTGCAAACGATCTCTTGATTATGTTTCGTCATCTTTGTCTGATCGTTCGAAGTATGTTTAAACTTTTACTGATTTAAGGGTTATACTTAATCTGGTTTTATCTAGGATCCATTCTATCATGTTGAAGACTTACTAAATGGTTATCTTTAACACTAAATTTGCTAGTATTTGCATTGTGATCAAGATTGAAAATATTGTTATATATTACACCATCCTTCTAGAGTATGAAACTATATACATATAGAGCTATCACCAAACTCAAAAGTTGATAGATACATGTTGATAAGTCAATATTTTATCATAATTAATGCAAGCACGAAGTCTCGTGATGAATCATTTGCTTTGGGTAAGCGTCTGAAGGGGCCTCTAAAAGTAAGAGTGATATTAGAGGTTTATAAGCGATTGATTCCCTTATTCCTCAATTAATATGAAACTCAATATCTTAATTAATCCCCTTAGTAGGAGAGCCAAGGCCTCATAGCCCTTCTTCTAGTGCTATTTTGATAAGTTAATATTTTATCGTCATTGGTGCGAGCACAAAGGCTCGCGAGGAATTCTCTATTTTGGGTGAGCCCCCGCATGACTTTGTCCTTTCGGGGTGAATCTCAAAAGACATATTTGAGAGAAAGAGTGATGCTATAGGTTTATAAGCTCTTGGTTTCTCTACTCTTCAACCAATGTGAGACTAAATGTCTTTATCAATGCCCTTTTAATAGGGGAGCCAAGGGCTCATGATCATTCTTCTAACGCCATTATGATACGTTAATATTTTATCATTAATTATGTGAGAATGAAGGCTCACGAGAAATTATCCACTTTAGGTGAGCCTGCACGGTTTTGCCCTTATGGGATAAGCCCCAAAAGGTGCCTCTAGGATCACTTTTACTCTCAGAGACACCTTTTGGGACACACCTCGAAAGGGAAAAATCGTGCAGCCTCACTTAAAGCAAACAAATCCTCGTAAGCATTCATGCTTGCATCAATGATGAAAAAATATTGAATTATCAGAATGACGCTAGAAGAAGAGCTGGAGGTGGGGAGGGGGGGGGGCACTGATAAGAATATTTAGTCCTACAATAATCGAGGAATGAGAGAACTACGGGCTTATAAGCCTCTAGTATATCTCTTACCCTCATAGATGTATTTTGAGGTTTACCCCGAAAGGGCAAAACCATGCAGGCCTAGCCAAAGCAAATAATTCCTTATGAGCCTTCGTGCTCGTACCAATAAGGATAAAATGTTGATTTATCATAGTACGAGAAGGAGGGCCTGAACCTCTGACTCTTTTATTGGGGGGGCACTAATAAGGATAATTCCTCGCGAGTCTTCGTGCTCACACCAATGATGACAAAATATTAACTTATCAATATAGCGTTAGAAGAAAAGCCATAAGCCATCAACTCCCATAATGGGAGGCATTAATAGGATATTATTTAGTCTTGGTTGAGGAGTAGAAGAACTAAGAGATTATAAGCCTCTAGCATCACACTTGCTCTTATAGACTCTTTTTTGGGCTCATTTCGAAAAGGCAAAACTGTGTGGGCTCACCCAAAGTGGATAATTCCTCACAATCCTTCATGTTTACATCAATAATAATAAAATATTGACTTATTAATATGTATCTAATAACTTTTGAGTTCGGTGACACACTATATGTATATAGTTTATAAACTTTAATATCAAAGATAGTTCGGTGACAACACTTATTAATAAGCATGCCTTGGTCATTTACTAAATAAAACCATATATTAAATCTCTTCAAGATTTAGTCAATATATTCTTTATGAGACAGTCATAATAATCATTGAGATCTATCCTTAAATATATTAATGTTAATAATATAATATACCTTATTCATATCAATAATCTTAAAATTCATGGTGAGAAATTTCTTAGTTTAATGTAATAAAACAATATCACTATCGATAAACAAAATATTATCTATATATAAGACCAATATAATAAACTTATTTTCACTTATCTTTAAATATAAATATCGATCAATAGTATTTTTTTAAATATGAATGAAGTAATGATATTAAGAAATTTTATATACTATTGTTTATATGCTTGTTTAAAGTCATAAATGGACTTCTTAAATTTGCATATCAAAATTTATATTTTTTTTTATTTTATCTACAAATCATTTAGGTTAACCCATATAAATCCATATCCCTATTCAAAAAACTTATTTTCGTATCTATATGATATAACTTAAAATCATAATGAATCACTAATATCATGATGATTCTTAATAAATTTATTTAAAAAATAAAAAAAAATATCTCATTATGATTGATGTATTCTTGATGAGTAAAATATTTGACAACAAGTCTGATCATTATATCATTTGATATTACATTTTGAGTCATATTTATATAACAGACTCTTTTATAGTTATTGGGTAATTTGACAAGTTCTAGTTTATTGATTTTAACTCTTATTTTATTACAAGTTCTCATATATCATTCTTTTACTTAAACTTGTGAAAACAATAAGAGATCATTTTGATTTTTATATATGATTCTTGTGAATTGTATAATTGATAAAAAAAATAAAAAGTCTCCTTTTCTTTTGAGATATTTTCAAAAGTATCAATTATGATTTATTCTACAAGTTCATCAACAGCAATATCAATATTATGTGTGAGTTCATATTATTTTGTTATTCGTCTTTATCAAATTATTTAGTTATTTGATAAAATAATAATTTCTCAAATAAAAAATAATAAAAAAGTATCAACCAGTATATCCTTAATATTAAGATTAAATTTTGATATTTTCACTCCCATTAATTTATTATTTTTTAAGAATATCGTATTATCAAATTTAATTATTATCCTATTATGATTATAGCAATAAAATCTGTACCTTTTTAATTTTTTTTAGATAACCAATAAAATATTTAGAAATCTGTCCTATTACGAATTAAAGATAATTATCTTTACAGAACAATTCTAAATATAAAGATATCTCAAGTTAGTGGTGCTAGTCATAGGTGCTCTACAAACCAATCACGTGAGTGATGACACATATGACTTGACACGCAGTCTTTTTGCTTATTATATTTTGGTATTTATCACTTTATATTGCTTGTTATATTTATATATATATATATATATATATATATATATATATATATATATATATTGTGATGTCTTTAAATCTGTGTAATGGGAATCGAATCATGACGAGATCACGATAATGAGACCGATTCGCCTTTAAACACATATCATAAATAATTCCGATCATAGGTTACTCGAGAGCGATATCGAGATAACCGAACAGACTGGTGTGTTATATGCCCGTCTATATAATGGATGTAACTAGTTCATAGTTGCTTGTGTGGGGACACTAGGGATACAATACATGTGCTCATTGGGGAATGAGTTCACTGATTGATTCGCTTACAGAATCTTGAATGGTTGATGATGCCTTATTGTAGACAGCGATTTCGTAGTCTCATTGGTGTATCTGATCCTTAGACTTGAGACACCAAGGATATCTTATATGAGTGCTCCACTCTTTGGTACCGAACTTATAGGTTTGGATGTCCTAAATATAGCACAACCGGTCATCGGGAGTAGTAGTCAACCTTACGAGAGTTATTGAGTGTCGATAGAGGATCATCATCCACTCTCGGTGTCACGAGAGGAATGCCTTATGTGTTCTTGCTCAAATAAATCCTTGACCAAGGTCATTCGGATTAAGAGAGAAAGAGTTCTCCGGGAGAATCCGATTAGAGCGAGACTAGAGTAGAAACCATATGAGTCTGACAACACCATACCCAGTATACTGTCTTTGGGATATTAGATGGATGAGGGACTATAGGTACACGGTAATTGAGGACAGACATGTTCGATGAATTGGATTATCCTGTATCGTCTAGGGACTACGGCGTAGTGGCCTAGTATATCTATAGTCGATGAGTCGAGTAAATTATTTTGGATATAATAATTCATTGAGCCAGAAGGAGTTCTGATAGATATGACTCATGACCAGCTCGATATTGTACCTAAAGGGTCACACACATATGATAGGCATTGCGATGAGTAGAGGTTCGAATATGAGATATCCGTCGGAGCCCCTATCTTATTGGATATCCAATAAGCCCTTGAATTATTGGATCCTATGGATGAGATCTAATAAGAGCTCATGAGAAATTATTAGATAGAGATCCACTAATCTAAGAGGCTTGGATAGTTGGATGGAGATCCAATACCCAATAGGGGAGGATTCATTAGAGTTAAGTTGACAGGGGACTTCTATAAATATGAGGGTTTCAATAGTTTATATAGACTAAGCTTTTTGCTTCCTCTCCTATTCTCTTCCCCCTCTCTACCTCAGAGCAGACATGAAGTTTTGAGGAGCGTCATCGCAGCCCTGTTGTACGGATCACCGCTAGAGGGGAGTGTGCTTGACCTCCTTCACCATCTCCTAGAGATCTGTAGGGATTCAGGGATATACTCTCTCCCTAGGTAACACAATCTATCTCACACGTGGTTTTTT